ACGCTAAGGTCAGAGGATAGTAGCAAGGTCAAGATCCTGGTAGTGATGTCCTACTAGATGTCGTTTTGCAAAAAAACATGACCAGTGGGAGAAACTGAGTCAAGTGGACGTGGGACACACAAAAAACCCCTCACTACCATGGCGTTGATACCGACTCAGAACAACCGGACAGGGCAGGGTAGGACTGCCCCTGGCCGTTTCCGAAACTGTCACTCTTTACAGGGATAGAAAGCCCCGTCTTTCTCCAGAGGGTAACTGGTGGGTTCGAACTGCTGACCTACCTTGCAGTTAGCAGCCCAACCCATAACCATTACAGCACCAGGGCTTCTCTCGACCATGATAGCAAAGACTGCCAAGGTACTAAAAAGAGAAGGGAAAGTCGGACACTGAGAGCAGGACGGGGAGGGGCACTGGTCAAAATTGGATCAAGGGGAGGTGGCCTACAGGGCAAGGAGTATACGGAGAGGCGAGGTGGACAGGAGACCAGGGAAAACGAGCAGCAAACCATGACTGAATGAAGCTATAAAGGAGCTACGAGAAGAGAAGAGGCTGGAGTGGGCTGGGGACACGGCGGACAGTTGTAAACAGGAGTGGAGGGCCAGGAATGAAGGGAGCAGCCAACGCCCCAGTCAGCTCAGCCCCCAGCATTCCAAGCAGGCGGGCAGGGGTGAAGGGGAAGAGGCATCATCGGCCCCTCTTCCCTTTCTAGGAACCAGCCTTCCTTCCCAGCTTCCTGCCAGGGCCATTTGGGGGGAAACCTGGCCTGGGTCCCCCTCCCTTCAGGGCTCCGGCTTCAGGACAGGAAGGGCCTAGGCTGCCCCTAGCCTGAGTCACCACATAGCTGAGGTTCCTGTCACCCACTGTCCCCGCCCCTGCTACACCCAGTGCCCTCTGCCCGCTCCAGGACTTACATTGCTCCCTCGGGCTGACTGGCCTCAGGGGTGGCTGTGATGCTTCTCTGCCGGTTTTCTTTTCCTTTTTTTTTGCAAGCTTTGAGAGCCCGGATGGGAACCTCAAGGTCTAGGATGGTAGCTGGATCCACCATCTCAGGATCCCTCCTGCTTGTCTTTCAAAGTGACTCCGATAGGGGAGCTGAGAGAAGGGTGGGGTGCCCCAGAGTGGTCCCTGGCCCCTCGATGGGTAAAATACTTTCACAGAGATGACTTTGTGAGCCGTTCTTGGTGGTCCCTGCCAGCTGCCCTTCATTCCGTATGTCTGAGTCAGCGACTGGGGACTCACTGGAGAGAGTAAGAGGAAAGGGGCGGGGGGACAGAGGTGCTCACCCCTGCCCTAGCGGCAGAAGTAGGTAGGGTAGGGCAGGGTAAGGTGTGGACGCTGCACCCCAGGGCAGCCAATACCCCAGGCAACCTGGTGACTCAGGTGTCACATGGGAGAAGGCTGGCAGGAAAGCACACTCTGGCTTGCCTGTGACTCAGTGGACATTCGGAGGATCTCCCGCTGAGGGGCTGGCCCTGCCCCACGACAAACAACTGTCCCTTCCCATTCCCAGGGCAGACCCCAGTGCCTGTGTTCAGCTGCTTCCTCCCGACCTGTGATGGCCCTTTTTTTTCTTTGCTTTCAGTCTTCAACTGCACGGCCCTGCCTACCCTCCTGTGGCTGCCTGGGCCCTTGGCCATGATTCCTGATTCCCCGCCTGGCTTTGCCCATCCTACCACCCCCATTCTGGCAGAGCCAGCCCTAGGATTGCAAAAGGGCTGAGCCAGAGCAGAGGCCCTCACATGACAGCTGCTCCTGCTGCAGGGGGTGGGGGGAGGAAAGGCTGGAAGTAGGGGGAGGCACATTCCATGGGAGATCCGATCACAACCCCCCCCCACTCAGGATGTACCACCCATTGTGCAAACAAGGCATGGTCAGCAGGCACCCCATACCCCCATGTCTGAAGAAGCCAGGACCACAAAGGTGGCTGTGGGAGCAGGAGTCGGGCAAGAAGGCAGAGCCCAGGAACATCAAAAGATCCAAGGGACACCAAGGATCACCACGGAGTCAGCGCCACCTGCCCAAGGGGTGCCCAGCTTACAGGAGACTGCAGGCATCAAGCACAACAACTACTTAGCAACTCCATTTGCCCCCCCACCCCTCGTCTTTTGGGTGCTGAGGCAAAGGAACATCCCACTGGAGCAAAACAGACACCACCTCTGGGTGCCATGCCAGCCCAATTTCAGCTGACAGACAAGAGCAGGTGGCACGCTACTAACTTTTCAGGAGTGCCCATCTTTTTGCTCGAGAGAACTAGGGGTGGGGTGGGTAGGAGAGAGTAGGAGAAGAGGGGGGTAGGTACCCCAAAATGACATTCATCTAGAGGACCAAAGTCAACTGGAGAAGTTAGCAGTGCCTGCAGGTCCTGCTGGTGGCGTGAGCCAGGCATGCCACAACCCCCCAGGGAAATGAATGGGAGGCATGAGGAAGGGAAGCTCTCAGTTCTGGAGACAAAGTGCTGGTTGCCATGAAAACCAGTAAACATTTCAGAAAGCATGGGGCCAAGCCCCCAAAGCGTTTCATGTCTCTCCCGGCCTCATTCTAGGCCCTTCCCCCACCTCTCAAAAGAAGAAGTGGCACATTTGGGGCATGTGGGCAGCTGGTGGGATGGGTCCGACCCAGGGAGAGCAACTGTCCGCAGGCTCCAGCTCAGAACAGGATGTGAAAAAGGAGAGACGACAAGCAAGGTCTTTCTTTGAAGAGCTGTTAAGGGCTTTTAACTTTGTAATGGGTGACTTAAGCAGAAACACCAACAAAGTCAAAATAATTACCTGCTTATGACCAAGGAGCTGGGAGGGACGGGGGTGGGGGGGAGAGGGTGGGTGGTGGGTGGGTGGGGGGTGTCTCGTTGGGCTGCTAAAAGCAAGGTCAGCAGTTCAAAACCACCAGCTGCTGCTCCACAGAAAGAAGATTTCTGCTCATAAACAGCCGGCCAGATGATAGTGGGTGAGTTGGTATAATCAGTATGTACTGGCTTACCTACAAGGGAAACTGGGTTCATATGGCCCCTCGAATTCACAACTGTTTAGACCCTGGCACCCTGACACCCCAGTAACCCTCTGAGCCCACCCCGGCCCCCTTCCCCACAATGCTCTTTCCTTCAGCCTTGCTGGAGATCCTTAAAGCAGGCGCCAAGCAGAGAAAATCGCCAACCCCTTCCCTCAAGGATCACGCCCCTTGCACCACTACCACCATTGACCCCACCCCCTTCACACATCCCTTCCTGTTGGAAGGGCATGGGGGCAGTGTGGAATGGGAGGACGTGAGCTCGAGGAGGTGCAGGGGCGACACGAGGTTCCCAGGCACGCCGGGAAAACTGCCCAGCAACGGGAGACGTCATTCAGGCATGGGCTCCAAGTGGCTGCGCGTGCCGAGCGGGGCGGAGCCAGGAAAGGCGGAGCCAGGAACCCCCAGAGCCCAGCGCGGGAGCAAGGCTCCACGGGAGGGAAAGGCTGCAGCGGTGACTCAGGCCTCCCCGGGGCAGGGCGGGGTCCCAACTCCAGACGGGCTTCCCTGCTTGCAGGCCCCACAGCGCGATTCTAGCGCTGTTAACCTCTTCCCTGCCCACCCTCGGCATCTGTCGGGCTCACAACTGCCCCTCCAGGCTCCACCCTCCCTCCCTCGACTTTGCCCTTTAACAGCCCAGCGCCCACAAGCCCGGCCACCCTTGCTCTGCACCAAACCCCCACAGCTTGGAGCACAGGCGGCAGGATGTGCGGATGAATCACTTTCCTGCCACCCATCTCATGGGCAGTTTGGGTGCGACGGTCCCTGCCAAGCCCAACCCCCACTGCCGTGTGGGCTCCCAGATCCCTCCGCTCTCCTCTTGGGCCCCACTCCAGGGCCTCCTTACAGGACCTGCTGCCCAGATCTGCAGCGACTCGTATTAAAGGCCTTGAAGATTATACCAGTACAGAAAGGGGTGTGGTGGGAAAGCTGGGAAGGGGAGGAGTCTGGCAGGTTCCTGAGGTTCCAGCAATGGCTCAGCACACCCCAAGCCAGCACCGAGCACTGTGGACCCTTGTCTGGTGGGTGGAGCTCGGCATGCTCAAAGCAGGGCAGGTTATCAAGTTTGGACCCGACCCCAAATGAGCAGCTGGTGAGCCAGGGCAAAGCCAGAACTAAGCTGCACCCCTGCCGTCTGGCCAAAGGCACAGGTACCAGGTGAAGGATCCCAGCAGATTATAGCCCTACCCGTAAGCCATCTCTGGGTCTGACCTCTGTAGGACCTTCCCCTTCCCCTCCTGGACATGCCCCTCCCGTGGCTGGACAAGCTGGAAGGGCGAGGAAACCAAGATTAAAGGCCTCCTAGGCCATGGTCTGCACATGTGCCAATTTCACCACCGGCCTAAATGCTCTTGACAGTTGGCAGAGGGACAAGAATGTCTGCAATGGGTCGAGGTCATCCCCAAGAGAAACAGCAACAGTCGGTCCAAGCAAGCACTGGACAAGGAGGGCTGTGCCTCCTTCCAAGTAGCAAGGGCTTCAGAGGGACACCCACTGGGTCCCCAGTCCTGTCACACCAACAGCCTGTGGTCATTCAAATCTCTGGCCCCACACTTCCCTGTCTGGGAGGAGCTAGGGACACCAGCCCAGCTGGACAGCCCCGTGCCTGTTGTAGCCATCTGTGCCCGCTCTCCCCACTTGTGAAGGATTTAAACTGTGAGCCTGGGTGACAGCCCGGGGCAGGTATAGAAAGTGTTCTCACCCATCACTCTGGCTGGCAAGGTCTGTGGTTCGGGGCCCCGACTCCTAACAAGCCTATGTCTAACAGATGGAAGCACTGGCCACTCCTGGGCCATCCACGTGAGCGTTGTCTGAATCCACGGACACAACCGTGTCGACCCGCCTCCTGAAGGTCTTCCCTTTGCCGCTGCCCCTCCAGTTTACCAAGCAGTGGGAGGTAAGGTCTTGGACCCAGGAGTGAAATAGCTACCGAACTCCGTACCATGCCACCCCCTTGGAAGGAGCCACGCGGACAGAAGAGGCGCACACGGGAAGGGTCACTGCTCAGCTTCTTTTAATGACCCCCCCCCATCCATCGCCCCACAGGGCAGGTGCAGGCGGTGGGACACCGGCAGGCCGTTCACTTGAAGATCTTGCCCTGGTTGAGGGTTTTGCCCACGTGCTGGAAGGCCCCCTCCCAGGAGAAGTACTCTTGGACCAGCGTCTTTGTCTCCTCACTGCCAGGATCCAGTTTCCGCCATGTGTATGACTCATAGTCCACCTGCCAATCTGGACTCAGCTACAGAACCGAGGCCAGCAAAGGAGACAGTGGTCAAGCCACCACACCAGACAGCCACACAGTGGCCCTTCCAGCCCAGACACATGCCATTGGCTCCCAGTGGGCTCCTATGGCCCACCTCAGCCTAGAACTGAGGGTAACTGAACTTACCCACCAGCCAGCACCCACACCACACTCTACCCCTCCACCCTCCACCATCGCCGCCCTCACCGGAAAGACAAGCTCTTGGCCTCTGAAGACCCAAACCCCCGAAATGGAGCTGCTGTTGTTGGTTCCGAAGAGGATAACGCTGGCGAAGGCATTCTTCCTCAGCTTGTCCAACCGCTGGAACATTCCTGAAGGGGCACAGGAAACCCATCTCTCAGCCCTGGGGACCACCCATCACTCACCCACCACACCTACACTGCCACCCCCACCTCGGCCCTCCTCCCCGACCACGTCTCACCAGTGATGAGGTTGCAGCTCATGAATGTCTGGCTCAGCTCCTCGGGGAAGCGGTACTCAGCATACCACAGAGACCAGCCTTCCTTGTCAAAGTGCTCCCAGAAATGCGGCAGTGCCACCGAGAGGGTGTCCTCGTTGGAGTACTTGCGCTTAAACTCGTCCAGCACGAAGGGACTGCGGGGAAGGGGAGAAACCACCGGAGGTCAGCCAAGGGGCTGCTGGAGGGGACACAGGGAGGGTCCCAGGGTGCTTAGGCTTGAAACAGGACTGCTGTGGAAGGAAGCAACCGTTGGCCTGGCAGCTGTGTGGCCTTAGGAGGGAGGAGGGGGTGGAAGGTTATAAGCAGGGTGAGGCATGGGTAGCCCTTCCCTCCCCCAGCACAAGTATGCTGGGCAAGTGGGCCCTGCTCCTGGAAGGGCACAGCTAACTGCTGCCCCCCAGTGGAGATGCAGAGAGAGAACACCATTCCAGGGCTGGTTACAGGATGTTCTTCCTGGACCCTGGCTTTAGTGCAAACTGTCTAAGCAGCCAAGTCCCAGCATGGCCTTTAGCCCCTCTCCACCCAGCCGTTGAGGCTGGCTACAAAAGCACCCTGAACCGTATGTAACACCCCCCCAGGGAGCCCACCCCTCACCACAGGTGCTCCTCCTGCCAGCAGCCAAGGAGCCCTAAGTTAATGCTCCAATGGGATGTCTTGAGCCCCAGCAGTGTATAGTGATGAGCTGGGCTGCTAGCCCCAAGGTCAGCAATTCAAACCAACCAGCAGCTCCTCGGGAGAAAGATGGAACTTCCGACTCCAATAAAACTCCAATAAAGTTCCAGGCGTGGGAATTCCCAGGGGCAGCTCTACCCTGCTTGACAGGGCTGCTCTGTGTCGGCACTGGCTCGACACAAGCCCTGATGGCGCAGCAGTCAGGCACTGGGCTGCGAACCACGGTCACAGGCTTGAAACTACAGGATTAAGGAGGCCGTCTCTCCTTAAGAGTTCAGTCTCAGGACAGCGCCCCACCCCACCCCACCTCCGCCCGCCTACCCCAAGCAGGGCCACTGCGAGTCCGAATGGGCCCGTGGCAGCTGAGTTTGGTGGTGGTTTTGGACAAGGTTCTGTTGTACCCAGGCTCCTGTCCTACCGCGGCTTTGCAGTTAACAGGGACCTGGCTCAGACAAACCTGTCATCTTCTGCACGGACATGGCCTGAACCTATTAAACCCCCGCTTCCTGAATGTTCACTCCTGTGACTCAATTACTCACTCGTATAAATAATGCTACAAAGGTCACGCGGATGTGCCACTCAACTCCCCTGACTTGCAGGCGCAGAGGCCCTCTGCAGGGGGCTGTCCGCGATCCGCTGGGTCCCGGCCCCCCCGCAGGGCTCACTTCAGACATCCAGTGGCGGACGGCTAAGACGCCACCCACCCAGAAGTGGCGCCGGGATTCGGGTGCTTGTGAGCCGGCACGGACTTTCCTCCGGGGTCTGAGCTGCTCCTCACACCAGTTTAGGTATAAGGCCTTAAAAAGACCAGATATTAAAATTTAAAGGCCAACAGAGCGTGGCTTTGAAGGCCTCACCTGTCATTCTAGGGCCTCCTGACAATAAATGTTAAAAATGTTAGGGAAAATGTTAAAGCATTAACATCTCTGAACAAAAAAATGTTAAGGCAAAATGTAGGAAAGGCCAGAGAACCTGAAGCGCCTCCCAAACCAGCCAATTCTGACTCCTCATGGACCCGTGACGGCGACACGGCTCCACGGGGTTTCTGAAGCCATGTTCCTGAAGCAGCACACAGCCCCAACCCTTTCTCTGGTGGAACAGCTGGTGGAGTTGAACCTCCCACCTACAGCAGACCAGCCAACAACCCATTGTGCTGCCAGGGCTCTTTGCTCAATAAACACGCAAACGTCTAACTAGACATCAGCTGGCATCGTCACCTGGGTTAGTTCTACCGCTGGCACTGACACATTCCCCCAAATTCTGCTCACTCTGGACCTGCCCTGTGCTAGCCTCCTAATAAATCCCACAGGTTCAGATAAAAACCCTTTGGAGATTTTAACCCACAGCCAGTGGATCAATTCTGACTCAAAGAGACACCACAGGGCCCCCCATCCAATGCCCCCCAGTCTGAAGGCTGTACATCTTTCCAGGAGCAGACAGCCCATCTTTCTCCAGAGGAGCGGCTGGTAGGTTCAAACTGGTGACCTTGTGGTTAAGGGCCCAACCCATAACCGGCTACGCTACCAAGGCTCAAGACCTGGCATTCCCGATCACCCACCATTAAATGCCTTGGGGCTCTTGCCAGCCCCCACCCCCAGCGTTCCCCAAATTCAGAAGACAAGTGGTCACTAATCACCTGCTGCTACCGAGTTTGTAATTCTCCCGCCTAAACACAGCCAGCGTATGCCCATGCACCCCCAGCGGGCGCCTCTTCGTACTGGTTCCTTCCAACACCCAAACCACTGCACGCTGAGGGCACCCACACTGGAAGCCCTTCAGACCAGCTGCTGGGAAACCAGCTGGCAAGAGAGAAGGGCAGAGCCGGCCAAGGGCAAAAACACGGGCAGAGTGCCTGCAGAGAAAACGGTGCTCAGGGGCGTGAAATTGAAGTACCTTGGAAGCCCCAGGGGAGGGGAAAGACGGGAGTCAGGGAAAACCCAGCCAGGCAAGTACTGCGACCTCCCTTCTAATCCTCTAACCCCTAGACTTCCTGTAAAGAGAACGCAGGCAACCTCCAGGGTTCGGTCCCACTCTCCGTTTGGGGAACCGCGAACTGCACGAGCCGCAGGCACCCTGTCTGTCCCCAGGACGTTTTGGGTCCAAATCCAACGCAACTGAAGGACACGGCCACACCAGAGCGGAGCAGCCCAGGGGCTGGCGGGCTGGCCCTGCCGTCTCCCGGCTGCTCACCACCTCCGCTGAGACAGCTCGCAAAGCCTCCTGGCAGGCAAGCTCAAGACCACCAGGGACCACCAGCTCAGGTCCTGCCCCAGCGGCGGCTCTTTGCTGGGAAGGGAATTCCCAATTCCCCACTGCTGGGCGGCGTGCTCTTTTCAGTGCCTCTTCCCACAAGCCTTTTGAAGCACCTCTCGTGTTGAGACCACGCACTCAACTCTTGAGGCTACTTTAAAAGCAATTGCTCTATCTCTGACTAAAACAGACGTTGACAATTTCGTATGTCCACTATCACCTCCAACTCACAGGGACCGCACAGGGCAGGGCAGAGCTGCTGCCAGGCTGTACACAGCCATACACCTTTCCAGAGCACAGAGCTTCACTCGCTTCTCTCCCAAGGAGCTGCTGCTGGGTTTGAACCACCAACTCTTGAGGTTAACAGGACCCACGACACCAACCAGGGCTCTTTGAGTGAGGACAACCCAAAACCGGGCAGCCCTGGTTGGAGGAAGGGTGGTGACACCTGGTAGAAAGCACGTCTCCACCTGGACAAGCCTTACCTTTTGGGCAGGTGAGCAAAGGGGTCCTTGGCCTTGGGCTCAGCAGCCAGTGCCTGTTCGCATTCGTCCATCTCCTCCTCAGGGGCAGGAGCTGCGGCCTTCTTCTCTTCCTTCTTCTCTTCTTTCCGCTCCGCCTGGGCCTTCTGCTTCTCCTCCCGGGGCGCCTTCTCTTTCCGAGGGGCGTCCTTCTTAGGCTGGATCTCGGCAAACTTCTTAGCTGGGGCGGAGGGAGAGTGCAAAGTGGGCCTGTTTCCATGGTCTTCTGAAGCGAGGATGCAGCCTGGGGCAACTGAAGCGCCTGCCTCACCCACTCTCTTCCTCCGCGGGGGAGGACAGACACCACCCTCAGCAGCAAGTACAAGGAGGGTTCACCAAGTTCACGGAAAAAGGGAACGACAAGGTGGGATGTCTCTGCATATGAAGCCCCCTCATACAAGCGTATGCCCATGTACAAAGCCAGTCTCCCCCAACATCCTACTCC